GGTATTTGCATCATGCTCCACGGGACCATCTCCCAGCTCCACGGTATGATTGTTCCACTACGCTGGGGTGAGAGTAGATCTCCAGGGGGCGAAAACAACGCTCCACATGATGTGCTTCTAGCTCCACGGACAGCTTCCCAGCTCCACGAGAACGAGATCAACTTCCAGCACGTCGAGATGGACACGAAACTCCGCGGGATGAACACCAAGCTCCGCGGGCTTCTTTGCGAGCTCCACGGAGCGATCTCCGAGCCCCACGAGACAGCCTCACAGAGCGTCGGGATGAACTCGAAGCTCCGCGGGACAGACACCAAGCTCCACGGGATGAGCTGCCAGCTCCCGAGGACATGGGACGATCTCCGAGCTCCACGGGCTGAACCTCCCTAGCACGTCGCGAAGACCGGCGGCGCGCCCAGGGGCGAAGACAGAAGGGGCAGTCTTTCTCGAAAGGCGGCGGGGCTTCTCAGGAGCCCTCCAGCCCTCTTGAGAAGCCGTCTCAAAGGCCCAATGTCTTGAGCCTTCTGAGAAGCCCCGCCCCCTCTGCCTTCCCCCTGGGCTCGCCGCCAAGAAGAAATCAGAGCTCCGCGGAATCACCATGAAGCCCCACGAGATCGGCCTCCAGCTCCCACTGGGGGATGTCGACGCCATCCAGTCGCCGATTTATAGGATCTCCGCCCTCCACGCGAGGCAATCAAGAAGGGGCCTCGTCTTCGAGGGTCGGAGGAGTTGACATCTCTGCCTCGGCGGAAGGCAGCGGAAGCGCGGCGGGACGGCGGAAGCAGAACGCGGCCACCTCCGCTGGCGGGGGGACCTTGGCTTCCTACGTCAGCCTCGGGTTCCGAGCCAGCGACCTGCGCGCGCTTGTTGTCGTCGTCGTCGTTTTCGTCGTCGTCGTTGCCCGGCTCGCGCACGAGCGAGGCAGCGACCTGCGCGCTTGTCCTGCACGGCGGCGACCGCGGAGGCCTCCCGTCGGAACTGTCCGGAGAGCTCCGGTGCTCTGGCTGCCGTTGCTGCTGGCGATGTCGGCTGGGGAGGCCGCGGCCTCTGGCGTGGGCCCGCGGGCGCCTCGGTGACCACGCGGCGGGTTCGAGAAACAATGCCTTGACCGAAAACTCCCCCGCCTCCAGCCGCGCCAGCAGCCGCGCCAGCAGGCGCCGCGGGCACCTCCGGGCCCGCCGCCTCCGCGGCCCGAGGGGCTGGGCGCCTCGCAGCATCGGCCCACTCGTCGTCGACGAGGTCGCCCCCCTCGCCAGCGGCGGCGCCCGCAGCACCGCCCTCCGCCGCAGCAGCGTCCATCGTCTCCGCCACCACCCCCCGCAGGAGCCATCTCCTGGGAGGCCGGGAGGCAGGAACGGCAGCCTAGGCACAAGGAGCTCTCGGGCCAGTGAGCGGGGGCAGCTCTTCTCTGAGGACGACGACGGCGATGGCGGCAGGCGCGCGCAGGTCGCTGACTCGCAGCCTGAGACTGACATGGGAAGCTAAGGTCAACCGCGGGGTTTCGAAGCTAATCGCGCGTCGCGGCCGGGGCCGCCAAGCTGGCCTTCTCCCTGGGACGGTACGAAGGCGCGAAGATATCCACGCGTCGAGCATCGCGTGGCGCGATGCGCGAAGTTAGGCGACTTAGGGAAGGGAACGGATGGGGTGGGCCCGGGGTGGGAAGGGTGCGATAGGTTCGCGTCGTGTCGACCGGCGGCGCCGGCGTTCAATGTTGAACCTGCCAGCGATCCAGAATCGGTCGATGTTGAACGACCTGACGTGTCGGAAACGGTCACTCATTCAAGGTTGAACGATCCCCGCGGTGTCAGGAACCAACGCCAGAGTCGACACGACACGAACCCGCGGTATTTCACGAGCTTGCACACCGAGTGCAAGGAGGAGAAGGGCCGAGGCTTGTCCACCGCAGCATGCCCAGTTGCGGCTTCTGCAAGAACAGCTACAACTCCTGCTCGATCTAAATATGCTTGTGCTTCGTTTCGCCGCATCATCTCAGCGCCCTGCTGCGCGCCCTTTAGGTATGTTCGGGAGCACCCCACCGCTACCGATATAGTTTTCCCACCTCCCGCCTCCCTCCCTCCTCCTCCTCCTCCTCCTCCTCCTCCTCCTCCTCCTCCTCCTCCTCCTCCTCCTAGTCGGCGTTGGAGCTCAGGCACTTTGAGACCCGACGGAGTGAGAACTTTCACTGACACTCACTCACACGACTTCCGCCCCATACATTCTCCGTTCTCGGGCCAGAGAGGGAGTAGGGGGGAGGATGAACGGAGAGAAGAAACAAAACAATCCCTACAGCCATTCCGATATCTTACCTTTTGCGACCCTTTCACGCGTGACAGGGTCGGAGTCAGATGATGGAATTTTCTTGTGCCGCAGCTTTCCACATGTCTATGGAGGATTGGAGTGTGACCTTGAAAAAAAACACGAGCCACAGACGCAGAGAACGGATCCGCCGCACCCACGCTCGGAAATGCCAGATTGCCAGGATTGCAATTTGCGAACAATTGGTTGATCAAGTGCCGTCGCTGGACAGCAGTTGCCAGTGGGAAGATGAAGGCCCTGGGGTTCGGAGGCAAGCGGAGGGTGCCAATGAAGAACAGCTGCGCCAGGAGATTGAAGAACGATTTCTCCAATGGCATCGACTTGGGGGTGCTTTGCATTCATGTGTTCGCCGGCGAGCGAGAATGGACGACAACGGTTCGAGGGAAGATGGAGGCCCTGAGGTTCGGAGGGCATCGGCTGCGACCGATGAGGAACTTCGAGAACCCATAGACCCCTGCTCTTCCGGTGATGGAAATTTCATGTGCCGCATCTACCCAAATTCCGATGGAAGATTGGAGTGTGACCTTGAATCGAACGAGGAGCCACAGAAGCAGAAAACGGCTTCTGCTGGAAAAGCTGGCACTGGAAATCGAAGATCAAGTGCGTCAATGGAACCCTGTTGGCCCAGCTCTGCATTCATTTGCCCTATCGGAGAGATAAGTTGGACGACAAAAGCCAGAGGGAAGATATGTTCGGAGGCCACTGGCCTTCGCCAGCGATGAACCTCGAAAAACCATGGCCACTTTGTCGGCAAAGCTGAACACACTGAAGGACATGTACGAGGTGCTTCTGATCAGCGCAGGCTCTTTGCTTAATGTGACAGAAGTGCAACAAAACATGCCCCGTGGTCCCGCACAGCAAGAAATGGAGGATGCACTGACAGAACTAGACGCAGTGGGTTTCTTCTCAGACATATAGAGGAGGCAAAGTCAAATTGAGCCCGGCAAAGATGATCCAGATCCAGGAGGCCATTGAAAGCCAAAGGGCATAAACTGAAGAAGAAGAAAACTTTCACCACCGAGCGCTGGACCCAGTCCACGACGTAATGTTGAAAAACTGTGGCCAATTTGCTTCCGCGGTGGACATTCCGAAATAAATGGCCTTCAGCGGCGAAGTCCGGAATTTTTTAATAGAATTGAAGACGCCGTTTCAGAGTGGGTACCCGTAGGTATCCTAATGAGAGACAAATACACATACGATGACATTTAATTACCTTGAACGTAGACGTCGTGCAAATCCTCTGCGCGTGCCGCGTGTATCCCCAGATTTTCTGATGTAGTAAGTGTGACCTTGCAGAGGGCGAGAAGAGAAGAGGTTGTGCATTTCTAAGCGCGTTTGGCGCGGGAAGCATTTGTCTTGGAGCAGTGAGAGTTGAGCGCGCGAACGAGGGCATCTCGGAGTGCAGGAGCCTCTGCAAACCGTGAGGAATTTGGTTCACAAATTAAGGAGAAGCCCCGGGACCTCCCAGTTGGGAACCCTGCTCGCCGTCCCCAAGAGTGGGCACGCGAACAGGCCAGCAGCTGTTCCCCCGCACTGACCCGTAGGGACTCGCCCATCTGCGAGCCTCTCTGACGGGGCCTGCCTCGGCGCTCGCTCCCTGAGAGCCTGGGGCACGCCCCCTGCCCCCATGCGAAGTATAGGCCTGGGCACAATAACTCTGCGCAGTGGTTTTTTGCAAGTCGTACCCCACGGATCCTTCGCGGGTGATTCGACGTTGACCCCCTCATGCGGATGTCCTGTCCTGTCCTGTCTTGTCTTCCTCCTCCTCCTCCTCTTCCTCCTCCTCCTGTCTCGTACGATTGTCTCCCTACTCCTCCTCCTTTCCCTTCTCATTATCCTCCTCTTCGGCCGCCAGCTCATCATCCTTTTTTGTCTCAATGATAATCGCTGCGGTCAGGAATTTCGGCTTAGCGTGTCACGCCGCCGTTTCTTGCTCACCACGCTTCGGCGCGACACTCTATCCACGCTCCAAACCGTCCTCCTCATTTTCCTCCTCTTCCTGCATCCCTCTTCCGTATCGATAACTCCTCCGTGTCGGCGCCACCAGACGCGCCATTAAGGCGGGCCGGGCATTTCGCCAAATACTGTTTGACATCGGAACATTTCGAAATAGGAATCCAACAGCACGGATGGAGCACAGGTCTATTTCTAATGAGGCTCTCGCTTTTGGCGCCGCGCGCAATCGTTTTGAAACAAGTCCGCACGTGCGTCTTCAAGAGCTTGGGAGGGCGGGTGGTTTTCAAAATGGGGCCTTCGCCAAACACCACTCACATTCGGCTCACAAGTTTGCATCAGCTACACGGATGGAAGGCGGCTCGTTTTCACTCATGGGCTCCGGATTCAGATTCATCCACGTTTTTTCCCCACCCGAAGCCCAACAATGTCCAACAGCTACACGGATGGATTGCGGCCCCTTCTTAAAACGATGCGTCCGTTTGATAGTTCCAGGGTAGTACGGTGAGGATATCGACATTGTGCAGCGCAACGCTTCCATGGAGGGGAGGGCGAAACCTTTCCCAAACAGACAGATCGCAGGGCCTTTCCTTGAATTGTATGACCCTGCATGTGTGCATGTTTCTTAGATGGAAGGATGGATGACTGGATGGTGGGCCCCTCACTCAAAAAGGGTTTCGCCTCAATGGCAGGCACGCGGGGCGCTCGTCTGCCAAGGGGGGGGGCTTCCCGCAGTGGCGAAGACAATTGCTAGGGACTAGCGGGGAGGCGTTTTGGGACGGAAGAGTGTCTTGCATCATCGTTAGCGTTTCGACGCATTTGGGTCTATTTTGGTCCCCCCCTCCCTCTTCCTCCTACTCGTTCTCCTCCTCCTCCTCCTCTTCCTCCTCCTCCTCCGTCTATCCTCCATCCGTTTTCCTTTTACAGTAATTATTCCCTGTCGCGCCCCTTAGGTTGCAAAAGTGTACAACGGCTTGAAGAAAGGAGGGCGGGTGGTTTTCAAAATGTGGCTCTCGTCCTAGGGCCGTGCACGTTTTCAAAGATGGAGGGCGGCTCCTGCTCAAAATGCGGCTCTCGCGCATGCGCCGCGCACATCCGCTTCAAAGGCTTGCAACAGTTTCAAGGATTCGACAGGTTGAAGTCCCAGGAATTATGTTCTGGCAAGATGCAGGATCGTCAGGGCGCACCAGTAATGTTAATTCGTGGCGCTGAGGTACCAGGAATTGTGCTTCGGCATGGCTGAATATTATCAAACGGTTGTCTTCCAATGGGGGAGCTTCTGCATGAATCGATGAAGAGGGAACTTGCAGGGAGGGTTTATTGCAACATCGTTGAGGCGTCTTGTGTTTACACTTGTCGTCCTCCTACTCTTCTCAACCCATTTCTCCTCCTCATACTCCTCCTCCTCCTCCTCTTCCTCCATATCTTTGTCTCTCTTTCTTGTTGTGTATTCCTCCTGCCCCCCCGCCTTCCCGAGCTTCTCGGCAACGCCGCGTACGTCGACGAGATCGAGGGCACCCTCAGTGCCATGGACGCCGATTCGCTGTCGCGCGACCCGTTCGAGAGGCGCCCCCCGCCGCGGGTCAGAGGGGCCTCGGGGCGCCCGCGCGCGCGGGCCCGGCCCTGTCGCGGGGCCTCTTCCTCGCCCTTCGCTTGTCCATTCCCTCTCCCCCTCTCCTCCGTCCCCCATCCACCTCCCGTCTCCTTCCCCGCCCGCCCTCCCCCCTCGCCCCACGCCTCGCTCCTCGCTCGTCCATTATCCTCTTTCCTCTGCCCTACCTCCTCGCTTCTCTTCCCCCCCTGCCCTCTTCCTTTCCCCTCCACTTCCCTCCTCCTTCGCCCTCCGCCTCACCCCTCGCTCGTCCATTCTCTCGCCTGTCCCGCCTCCTCCTTCCCCCTCCACCTCCCTCCTCCTCCCTGCCTCCTCCCTCGCCCCCTCTAGCACGTCTGCAGGGCATCCAGGCTGACGCTGCTTCTGTGTCGGCTGGCCTTGGCATTGAGCGTGGCAGCGGGGTGTCTAGGGCCACGCCACGCCATTCCAAGCGCATCAGCCAGGCTCAGCGTAGTGCTTTTCGAACTCGTAAGTTGCCTGGAGTGGCGCCTAGCAATATTTGGGCGCGTCGTATCCTCACTGGGGCTTTGCCGCAGGCTTCCTAGGCCTGGAAGGTCTGTGGGGTTGCGCCGTCGGTCCTCCAGAAGTGGCGTCGAGCTCTTGCGAGTACCGTGGCTCGGGGCACGGTGGGCAGATGCCTCCCTACTCTGCTGGTCCTGACGGCTGGGAAAAAGGACCCCGCGTTCACGATGGATTTCCAGTTTTTAGATTCCTGGTGTCAGATCGCTACTGTTTTGCCTGCAGCGGCGGTGGACAGAATGCGCAAATGTTGGAACAATACGGTGGAGAGCATCGGTGCCATGGGGCCTTCGAGAAGGTGGCACAATCTTCGGGGGCTTGTGTTTGCGGTGGTTGCCACCATGACGTCCTTGGGATGGAAGCTCGAGGGCACTTGGCGATGGGAGGCTCCTGGGGGGGACGTTTTTGCTTTGCCTGACAAGCTTCGGTCACAAGACCACAGGACGTCTGACGTAAAGCGTGGAGTTGATCGCAGCATCGGCTCTAACCTCTGGGCGTTGGCTGCTTCCTTCAGGAACGGAGAAGGCTTGCCCGATGGTCCTGACTCGACCGCTGCGTGGCGCCACATGTCCTCTCTGCGTAGGAACTGTGTTCAGAAGCGGGGAGTGCTCCGCTCGGTGATCGCGGGATCGGTTTGGACTCGATCTCGTATCTTTGCTTCAGGAGGGGGTTGTGACCCCAAGTGAGCTCGATGCAGTTGTGGCCATGGATCTGACGTCCGTCGTTTTGGGAAGTACTCTGCTACTCCGGAGTTCCAAGTAATGTCGGAGGCCTTTGCGAGGCGAGGGGGGCAGTGCGGCTGCCGACCTCCTGTGCTTCTGGATTCGCGGCCTCACCCCACGGTCCTGGACTCGCGTGCCTCCCCCTCCCCGACGTCGCGAGCTCCCAAACCACTGGGGAATCTACCCAATAAGGGACTCGTACCTGGGGCGCTGGAGATGCGAGCGGAGGTGGGTTTTCGAGGGGCAGACGTCTAAGGCGCGCGGCGTGGTGTCTCGCGATGTTGACCATGATGTTTGGGCCACCCCCCAGACTGTCTGAAATTGGCATTCCGTTCCCACCTCGATCATTTGGAATTGGGCCAAAGATGTCCTGGCCTTCCAGGACGCTGCTTGTTAGTCCAGATCCTTAGCCATCTTTAGATGCAGGATGCCTTCGCCAGAAGGCTGACTCCGGAAGTGATGTTGGCGAATGCTGTGGCGGACCAGGTTGCAGGCCACTTCACCACCCCTGTTCAGGTTCCGTACGCTGTGTGGTTGTGCGCTCGCTCTGCCGGCGCTCCCACTCGTAAAGCGCAGAACCAGCTTGTTGGTGTGATGGCTGGCGTTCCGGAGAAGGAAGGTCGTGGGCTGCCCCGCCTTCCCCGTGTCGGGGTTCAGCAGACGGCCGCTCAGTTTCTGCGCAGAGCGGCCGCCACGTCCGAGCGCAGCTGTCCCCAGATTTGTAGGGAGTTCGGCCAGTGCTCGTAGTGCGGTGCCACTTCTCAGGAAATCATCGCGTTCTGTGGGGCCCCCGTGTCGGCCCATGTCCTGGTCGGGGGTTGTTTTTACCTAACAGCGAAGACTGATAGGTTTCTAATGGGGTCAAAAGAGAGCATCTGATGACTCCCCAGGGGAGTCTGGGCGGGAGCCGGACAGGCGAGGGCCAGGCTCGTTCTAAGCAAACAGTCATACACTTCGTGCTCTTCGACCTCCCAGAACTCCATTCCCCGGCCACATTTTGAATGCCCGGAGCCAACTGTAGGCCACTTCGTGCTCTTCGACTTCCCAGAACTCCATTCCCGGGCCACATTTTGGATGCCCGGAGCCAACTGTAGGCCACTTCGTGCTCTTCGACTTCCCAGAACTCCATTCCCGGGCCACATTTTGGATGCCCGGAGCCAACTGTAGGCCACTTCGTGCTCTTGGACTTCCCAGAACACCATTCCCAGGCCACATTTTGAATGCCCGGAGCCAACTGTAGGCCACTTCGTGTTCTTCGTGTTCCCAGAACGCCATTCCCGGGACACATTTTGAATGCCCGGAGCCAACTGTAGGCCATTTCGTGTTCTTCGTGTTCCCAGAACGCCATTCCCGGGACACATTTTGAATGCCCAGAGCCACCTGTAGGCCACTTCATGTTCATCGTATTCACAGAACACCATTCCTGCACCATATGTTGATTCCCCGGAGCGAACTGTGGGCCACTTCGTGATCTTCGTGTTCCCAGAACACCAGTCCTGTGCCATATTTTGAATGCCCGAGCTGAAGCAGGCTGCGGCCGAGGCAGGCTGAGGCCGAGGCAGGCTGAGGCTGAGGCTGAGGCACGCCGAGGCAGGCTGAGGCTGAGGCTGAGGCAGGCTGAGGGCTGAGGCTGAGGGCAGGCTGAGGCCGAGGCAGGCTGAGGCTGAGGCTGAGGCAGGCTGAGGCTGAGGCAGGCTGAGACTGAGGCTGAGGCAGGCTGAGGCTGAGGCCGAGGCTGTGGCTGAGGCTGAGGCAAGCTGCGGCTGAGGCTGAGGCAGGCTGAGGCTGAGGCAGGCTGAGGCTGAGGCTGAGGCAGGCTGAGGCTGAGGCTGAGGCCGAGCCAGGCTGAGGCTGAGGCTGAGGCCGAGGCAAGCCGAGGCAGGCTGAGGCTGAGGCTGAGGCTGATGCTGAGGCAGGCTGAGGCTGAGACAGGCTGAGGCTGAGGCTGAGGCAGGCTGAGGCTGAGGCAGGCTGAGGCTGAGGCCGAGGCAGGCTCAGGCCGAGACAGGCTGAGGCTGAGACTGAGGCTGAGGCTGAGGATGAGGCCGAGGCAGGCCGAAGCTGAGACAAGGTGAGGCTGAATGGGGGGGGGAAGGGGGGGGGGAGGGGAGGCTGAGGCAGGCTGAGGCCGAGCCAGGCTGAGGCCGAGGCAGGCTGAGGCTGAGGCTGAGGCAAGCCGAGGCAGGCTGAGGCTGAGGCTGAGGCTGAGGCTGAGGCAGGCTGAGGCTGAGGCAGGCTGAGGCTGAGGCTGACGCAGGCTGAGGCCGAGACAGGCTGAGGCTGAGGCTGAGGCAGGCTGAGGCTGAGGCCGAGGCAGGCTGAGGCTGAGGCTGAGGCAAGCCGAGGCAGGCTGAGGCTGAGGCTGAAACTGAGGCAGGCTGAGGCATCCGTAGGAATCCATCGGAATCCTTAGGAATCCCCAGGAATCCTTAGTAATCCGTAGGCATCCTTAGGAATCCGTCGGCATAGTTAAGCATCCTCAGGAATCCTTAGGAATCCTGAGGATTCCTATGGATTCCTAAGGATGCCTAAGGATGCCTTTGGAATCCCTAGGAATCCTTAGGATTCCATTGGATCCTAAGGCCGTTGCCACTGCGACTGTCATTGCGACTGCGACTGCGACTGCGACTCCGAGAACAGCAGAATTCTACAACTGGATTCTCACCTGAATCTTAAGGGGAATGCTTCCAGATATGCTTATACACATCGCTGTTAGGTTGCTTTGCGGGGATAATTAGGCCCTCGGGGGCTGTGTGCGTTCGGTCAAAAGAGGTGTACCCTTCGCACCAGCTTGCACTTGGGCCTGACCGCGATCTCTTGTGACGTTTAGTCTGTGGGTTACGCGCTCGATCATGGACCCCTGGTTAACACGAAAAATCTTACGTTCACGCCGATGACCGCCGAAGACCGCCGAAGACCGTGTCGGGCCGCCGCCCAGACCGCCGAAGACCGTCGAAAGACCGCCAAAAACCGCCAAAGACCGCCGAAAGACCGCCGAAGACCGCCGAAAGTCCGCCGAAGACCGCCGAAAGAAAGCGAAGACCGTCGAAAGACAGCCGAAGACCGCCGAAGACCGTGTCGGGCCCCAACGCCCGCAGCGGGGCGCGCGCGGGCTGGCGGTTCTCGGCGGTCATTCGGCGGTCTTCCGAGGACAAGATGCGTGGCGAGGGGTCCATGATCAAACGCGTCATGTGGGTGCTATAGCACGAACCAGGTTCGCGAGTTGGCCCCCACTGCGGCCATAGAGTTTGCCGGGCGTGGTCTTACAAGCCCGGCTGTTCGATGCTTTCTTTGTTTTTTCCCCGCTCCACTCTCTCCTTTTTTTGTTTGCCTTGCCTCCGCTTCCGCTTCCAGATGCGTGGGGCTGCGCCTGGCCCCTGCAGCCCCCCCCCCATGAGGGCCGGCCCCACCCCCATCAGGCTCCAGAATCTGTCCAGAGTCGGCCTTGGCCCCCTCCCAGACTCCTGTGTCTGCGGGCGTGAGAGGCAGGAGCGGAGGGGGGCGGGGGGGGCAGAGCGCCGCGGCCGCCACGCGGCGGGTCGCGTTCGACGCGTCGGCCGCCGAGCTGGGCGGCCGACACCCTACATTTCTTGGAAGGGCACGTCCACACCAGTGACATTGGGCAAGGACATACTCGGGCAGCGTCCGAACCACGATTGAATGACCACAATAGCACACAGTGCTTTGCGAGGGGCCGCTGGAAGCGCCCCGAC